CGCCCGCCCGTGCGCCCCATCAGCATGACCAGGGCCCTTGTTCCGGCACGGCCACGAGCACGACCACCAGCGCGACCACCAGCGCGACCGCGGGCGCCACCTCCGGCACGACCACCAGCACGGCTACCAGCACAACAACGAGCAGGACAACCACAACGAAAACCAACAAGACCGCAGCACGACCACAAGCCCGACCGCCAGCCCCACCAGCAATAGCACCAGTGCGACCGCCCGCACGACCACCAGCACGAACACAAACACAACCACCAGCGCGACCACCAGCACGACCAGCACCATCACCACCACGACCGCCACCATGACCAGGAACACGGCCACCAGCATACCCATTGTCACGGTTTCCAACACGAGTGCCAGCACAGGCACGAGCGCGAACACCGACACAATTGCCTTTCGTTTTCCGCCCTGCAGCCACAACATTTCTAATTCCCCAAGGCTGTCAAGCTCGCAAACACATGTCATATATACATACACACCTAAAACCATGAAGTCCACGAGCACACCACAATCCGTCTTCCATATAGCATAGTGAGATACCAGCTCCGCACTCTTGCGCCAAGGATGAGGATGAGGGACAAGATGTTGTGGCAAAGCGAAGCGAGCCAACACTATTTTGCGTGTATAAACAGATGTATAAGTTTATGAGTGTATTCACACACATGTATGCGCGTGTGTAACCGCATGCCCCGGAAAATAAGGCACCCCCCTTCCCACGATCCTCATGATTATCCCCAGCCAAGACAGTTTTGGTCAGCGGTGGGGAGCGGCAGGGCCGAGCTTCATCATCGTTGGGGGAAGTGTGGATCGTAGATCGAATCCTCTTTCATGGTTCTCATTATTAAATCGCTTCGCCCACTCCGCCGGCCCATTTTTGCGCACCGCTGTGTCGGCTGGCCGAGTGGTCGTTGGCAGTGCGGAGTTGCAGGGTCGGCGTGTGTGTGTGTGTGTTTGTGAGACATTGCTTTCGGCATGTTTGGGGTTGCTCCCGTGGATCAGCCGCGTGGCGGTTGTTTTGGCATTGTGGAGAAGATATCCGAGGTTCGTTGGTTTCTTCCGTGGTTTCTTGGAGTTTGCCGCCCTGCGGGGCTTCTGTTTTACGGGCGCAGCCCGTAATTTGATTTTCGCGAGGTAGACAGACTGAACTGAACCACCAGGCCGTTAGATGGCAGTTTTATTTCCGCGGGTGAGGATATTTCGGTGGCAGTTTTGAGCCAGCGGGTGAGGGTATTTCTGTGGCAGTTTTAAGCCAGCGGGTGAGGATATTTCGGTGGCAGTTTTAAGCCAGCGGGTGAGGATATTTCGGTGGCAGTTTTAAGCCAGCGGGTGAGGATGTTTCGGTGGCAGTTTTGAGCCAGCAGTTGAGGAAATCCCGGTGGCAGTTGATTCCCGCGGGTGAGGATATTCTGATAGCAGTTTAAGCCAGCCGGTGAGGATATTTCGGTGGCAGTTTTCAGCCAGCGGGTGAGGATATTTCGGTGGCAGATTTATTTCCGCGGGTGAGGGTATTTTGGCGGCAGTTTTAAGCCGGCGGGTGAGGATATTTCGGTGGCAGTTTTATTCCCGCGGGTGAGGATATTTCGGTGGCAGTTCTAAGCCAGCGGGTGAGGATATTTCGGCGGCAGTTTTCAGCCAGCGGGTGAGGATATTTCGGTGGCAGTTTCAAGCCAGCGGGTGAGGATATTTCGGTGGCAGTTTTATTTCCGCGGGTGAGGATATTTCGGTGGCAGTTTTAAGCCAGCGGGTGAGGATAGTTCGGTGGCAGTTTCATTTCCGCGGGTGAGGATATTCCGGTGGCAGTTTTAAGCCCGCGGGTGAGGATATGTCGGTGGCAGTTTTAAGCCAGCGGGTGAGGATATTTCGGTGGCAGTTTTATTTCCGCGGGTGAGGATATTCCGGTGGCAGTTTTAAGCCAGCGGGTGAGGATATTTCGAAGGCAGATTTAAGCCAGCGGGTGAGGATATTGCGGTGGCAGTTTCAAGCCAGCGGGTGACCATCACCCGCTCTATAACACCTCGATAACACCCGATAACACCTCGATAACATGTTTTCGAGATGTGTTCGAGATGTTATCGAGGTGTTATCGAGGTGCTATCGAGTGTGATCGAGCTCGATAACGCTCGAGAGCACCTCGATACCACTCGATGACAACTCGATAGCATGAGGTGTTATCGATGTGTTATCGAGTGTTATCGAGCGGTGGCAGTGTCAAGCCAGCAGGTGAGGATATTTCGGTGGCAGTTTTCATTTCAGCGGGTGAGGATATTTCGGTGGCAGTTTCAAGCCAGCGGGTGAGGATATTTCGGTGGCAGTTTAAGCCAGCGGGTGAGGATATTTCGGTGGCGGCTTTAAGAAAGCGGGTGAGGATATTTCGGTGGCAGTTTCATTTCCGCGGGTGAAGATATTTCGGTGGCAGTTTTAAGCCAGCAGGTGAGGACATTTCGGTGGCAGTTTTAAGCCAGCGGGTGAGGATATTTCGGTGGCAGTTTTCAGCCAGCGGGTGAGGATATTTCGGTGGCAGTTTTAAGCCAGCTGGTGAGGATATTTCGGTGGCAGTTTTATTTCCGCGGGTGAGGATATGTCGGTGGCAGTTTTAAGCCAGCGGGTGAGGATGTTTCTGTGGCTGCATTGATCCAGCGGGCGAGGATATTTCGGTGGCAGTTTTAAGCCTGCGGGTGAGGATATGTCGGTGGTAGTTTTCAGCCAGCGGGTGAGGATATTTCGATGGCAGTTTTAAGCCCGCGGAGGAGGAGAAGGAGGAGGGAGGAACAGAGAATATCTGTGCTCGGCGCGGGCATCCAGCCGCCACGCGATGCGTCATTCGCTTGGTTGGCCCAGCCGACGGCTACGCATCCAGCGCTGCGCCCGTATATATGCTCGCCCCTTGGCGTGGGGCTGGCGGGGGGCCAAGGGGCGAGCTGTCCGGTGATATTTTTTGTAGGGGGTTGTTGCCTGCGGAAGCTCGCATTGGGACCGTTCGAGTGAGAGGAGGAAAGATTGGGTGCGATGATGGAACCCTCGTTTTGGAGGGTGGCGGGCTTTGAATTGGAATCTCGGCTCTCATCTTGTCCTGATGTCGATTGTCATGTGCGTGGGTTGTGGGTCAGACTCCTCCGAGATGTTTCTTGGGGTCTCTTCGGAGCGCTGTCGTGAGCGTCTGGGGGGCAGTGTGCAGGAAGCTCTTGGGAGTTTTCCGAGGCTTTCGGGGACGTCTTAACCTGCTGCCTGTCTGGGGCTTTTGGGAGCCTCTTTGGCGGCCTCCTGACCGCCTGACCGCTTATTGGGGGCCTCCTGGGGGCCTCCTGGGGTCTCCTCTGGGGGCCTCCTGGGGGCTCCTTATGGCCGAGGGCTCGAGATTGTGTTTCGTGTTCCCGCTCTGGTGCCTCCCTTGGGGCGTTCTTGGGGCCTTCTCGGGCCTTCTTGGAGTCGTCTTTGGCGGTCCTGGATCTCTCTTAGGCCGTCTTGGGGCTGTTTTGGGGCTTCTTGGACCCTCTTGGGACGATCTTGGGGACCTCTTGGGCCGTCTTGAGGCGTCGGGACGCCGAAAAGGGGAAAACGCCCAAATCTTTCCAAAACAGCGTGAACATTCATAACTTGTACCTCTTGGGGCCCTCTTGGGAGTGCTTTTTGGGGCGTCCACGGACCATCTTGGGCATCTTGGAGCGATCTTGTGGCATCTCGGAGCCCTCTTGTTCTATCTTGGGGGCCTCTTGGGGGCCTTTTGGCCCTGCTTGGGGCTTTCTGGAGGGCCTCGAGGGCGTTGTCCCGGAGAAAAAGGATCTCTGACCCGACCCGGCCGGGGACCGCCCAGGGTGCTTTTGGTCCGGGGACCCCCAGGGGCCGCTTCGCGCGCGCGAAATAAAGATATTGTAAGCAGTCACCGGAGATCATGGCACGCGTCTGGCCCGTTGGGCTGGCGAATGTATCAGGAGTTCTTGCTCCTCCAACCCTTCCACGGAGACCCCGCCTGAGCGAGCAGGGCATCGCTGTACCAAAAGAAGATGTTCTCCTCGCACCAGTCGCAACCATGCACTTCCCCTATGGTGCGAACATGCCCATGCCTAGGGGCTCCATCCAGCCCATGACCTCCGCCCCCCTCCTGGTCATTACCTTTCCGCTTCGATGAGCAGTCAGCAGTCCTTCGGCGGTCCCCCAGCAGTGCTTGAACGCAGGACCAAGGTTTGAGGCGAAGCAGAGCGAGCCCCCAAATCTTGTGATTTCACACATATCTCACAGACATGTAAACACATGTGTGTAGACAGACGTCGTCCTGGGGCGAAGGATCGGCCCAGCCACGATCAGCGAAGAGGACGCTCGACGTCCCACACAAGGACGGCCCCACGCTGTGGGCGGGCATGTGCGCTGGCGACAAGGAGGGCGGCGACATCCGCAGGGCCATGGGCGGGCGCGCGGCGTGCGTTCCGGGCGCCTGGTCCACTCCCGCCATTGACCACCACGGCGACGTCTACATCGGCAGCCAGGTGGGCGAGCTCCAGAGGTGGGGGTCGGAGACCAACGGGGGGGCGAAGGGCGTCAAGCTGCTCTCCACGCTGAACACGGGAGTGGCCTTCCAGGACCAGGCCGTGGCGTTCTCCACGGGCCTCATGGCCGTCTCGACGTGCACGTCGCTCCTGGTCTTCCAGACCTCCAGCGACCAGCCCGCGATACCGAACGATCTGACGGTGGAGACCGAGTGGTACTAGCGAGAGTGTTTGGGGAAGGCATTGGTGAGCTCAGCGCACCTAGCCAGCATGTGGCATGGTAGCTCAACCAGCCGCTGCCCATGCGGTTGAGTCTAGGACGGACGGCTCTGGGCGTTGACGCACGGATTGCGTGCGTTCTTCGCCTCACCCTTCGTTCATACTATAGCAAATGTAGTTTTATGATGTTTGGGTTTTTTTTGTGCTGCCCCGCGGTCGCTTCGCACATTTTTGGTTGAATCGGATTCAACTTGGATCCGCTGCTGCTGGCCCTGCTTGGCGGTAATGCCGCGCCTCTTCGAGGCGGTGCTCTCGAGCGCGCTTTTGAGTGGCTATAGACGTGCGTCCCGAGCCCTCCCAGCAAGAAGAAAGCAGAGCCCCGGACCATTAGGGCTAGGGGCGGTTAGGGGTAATTCTCGATGCGTGCTTGGGGAGGGGGCGCGTGGCTCGAGTCACAACCTCTAGACGTCGGAGACATATGGGGTTGCGCGTTTTTGTTCACGCTGGGGCTTCAATGTGCTTCGGCGCGGCCCTGTCGTAGAACTGTGGTTCGGGGTAAACAGGTTTGACGTTGCCACATGAACTTGTCTGGCGAGCCCGTCCAGCCAGCCCAGTGCAATCAGAGACCAGTGACCACCGCAACTATTCAATGGGACAAACAAGCCGGCCCTCCAAAACCCCAGGGCGCCCGCCACCTGGAGAGCGGGAAACAAACTGACCGAGGTCACGGTCCCATCTTGAGGCAGCGTTGCATCCGTGTCGGAGTTTCTTTGGAACCATCCTGGCAAAATGATTGTGGGCAGGGCTACATCTTGATACCTGAGGGGCCGAAATGTGGGTAGGCCCAGGGCGCATTTTGGAACCGTGCCCCGGATGACACCCTGGCCCTCCAAAAGTGTAGGACGGTCTTCTGTTTTTGAGTCTGGAGCTAATTCGGACTAGCGAAGCTGGAGTTACCCCGTCACCCCGTGTAACTTGTTGCTCTTTTGAGACCTGGACTTGCGGATCCGGAGTTTTGCCGGATGTGTGTCTCCAGGGGTTTCCCAGATGACGCTCCCAGGCAGTGTATTTGTTGTCCCCATCATTCGGCGCAGGAGGCCCGCCGAAAGGCCATGGCGGCAAATCAGAACATGAAAGGACAGCGGAGAGGCTTATCATTTCTGTGGGCTCCTGGGGGGCCTCCTCGGGGCCTCGGCCAGGCCGCAGGGGGGAATCGCGAGGGCCCGAGGAGGGCATGGATCGACATCTCCCAGGGCTCTTTGGAGGCCCTCTTGGCGCCCTTGGGGGGTATCTTTGGAGCGCCACCAAGACCCCCTTTGGAATCCACGCAGAGTAACACGATTGATGATTGCTTTTTCTGTGTTGTGTACGGTCTGGCATGCCCATCTAGCACTTCTGCGCCCATAGCCTTTGGCTCAATCGGCCGTGGAGGAACCCCAAATCCATTTGGAGCGTTTTTTTGGGCCATGGGAGGTTCAGGGGGTACACGCGGTAACGATAACCCGGTCAGCTTTCGGTGACCTGTTGGCGCCGGCAACCCGCCTTGTTAGGTCCCCGGCCAGAGAGCAACGCGTCTTCGCGGAAGACCCCGAGGGACCGTTTGGAATGACTTGTCTCCCATGTCATCCAGCAAAATCTTGGTGGCAAGCTGACCAGTCGCCGTAGGTTGGTTGCATTTGCCCCAGCAGTTTCGGACACGTCCGATGGGCGCCAGAGACGCTGTCCTGTCAAGGTGGCCGATATAGCCCGAGCAAATACTGCCACCCGCATTGTGCTGGACGGCTGCGCCACAACGCATTCATTCAGAATGGCCTCGGGTTTTTCCGCGACGGGGCTGTCAATGTCATGGTAGGGGTATGCCATGCGGTCTGGTCGGGCGCACATGGCCTCAGTCTTCTCTGGCCCGTGACCTGACAAGGCCTGTTGGGATAGCGAATGAGTCCACCAGAACTGGCCGGGGAAACGTCCGGAGTTTTGCGGGGCTTCTGCAGCTTCAACGCGTCGTCAACGACGCAGCGCGCGCCGAGAGTTCACCGTGAGGCCGCGTGTGGGATCTTCCACGTGACTAGTATGTGTGAAACCTGGGCGCAGGTAATTGACATTCTTGTCACAGCAACCGAACTAAGCACGTCTCTTCAGGACGCCGCGCAGGAGGACATGGGTACACTCGGCCGCTCGGTCTCTCATGGAAGGCCCCAAGCTGAGCCCTTCTCGGACCAGCCCCATTCCCGATAACTCGGGCGTCCAGAGCATGCCAGTCCAGGGCATAAGCTTCTCCAGCCAAGGTACCCTGCTTCAAAGCCGCGAATGCACATCCCCCTCGTGCCCTCCCCCCCTCCTAGCACACCCCCCACCCTTTGCGCTCCTTGCTCTCATTTCCCCCGCCCCTGCATTCCCCCCTCCCCTCCCCTGCTCTTCCAGATGGTTTGATTTCTTCACCCTGCCCTCGGAGGGCCCTGGAGGTGGAGAGAGGGGGGAGCGACGACGCAGCCGGCCGAGAGGACTTGGGGGGCCAGGCCCTTCTGGGCTGCGCTGGCGACGGCGTCCTGTCCCTCTGCAGCGCCGAGCTGGCCGACGTCGAGAAGGGCGATTGGGGAAAGAACCTCGCGTCCTCTAAGAGAGGGAGGCAGCAGAGGAAGGAGCAGGAGAAGCACGACGAATGGAGGAAACCGCCGAGCAGGAGGGAAAAGGGGATTTTTGAGGTGAGCACAGTGTGGCCAGGAAATACGAGACGATACTTCTTCTCCCGCACTCTCCGTGACTCAAAGAGAGCCCAGACCACTGATCATCATCTGCAAGAGGAGCAATAATGTCCATGGGTTTACCATAGCAAACATTACCATCGTATGCGTCTGTTGCAACCCCTTGCCCTTGAGCCAAGAGAGCTCAGGTATCATAGCCACCACAGGGCAACGCACAGTTTTTTCGTCGGCGGCGAGGCAGAATGGCTGCACAAGCGATAGGGCTAAACGGGGGCGCCAAGATGCGAATTGGCCAACGTGCAGGGGAGGGGAACAAACGGACAAGGCGGCGGAGGAGGGAGGATGAGGAGGCATTCGGAGGCGGAAGACTTCCGACCTGAGCGGGCTGGCGCGGCCGACCCCATCAGCGGAGACCGTGGCAGCAGCCGGCCCGCATCGCCGGGGCACCCACGGGCGATGACAGGGTCCAGTGCGTGAAAGCAAACACCACAGAGAAGCCGTCGGAGAAGTAGGACAAGGTACTTGCACGTCAGGAGAAGCTTCGTGAGGCTGCCCGGGTGGGTGGCTTGGTTGACAGGGCACGGCACGTCCACAAGCAATCTAGGTTTCAGCTTACCACCAGCAAGCTGCTGGGCCCGTGACGCGGGCGTGGGCGGCTAAGCCAGGCACAGGAACACTGCCGCACGGGGGGAGCTGCCACTTGCGGCAGCAGCGCGATCGCCACGGCGGCGCGCGGAGGGCGGGGGGGACAAGGCACCCGGGGTGGGGGAAAGGGGAGAGGGGCACAGCGAGGAGGAACGCCCCGCCTGCGGGGAGGCCTCAGCAGGCGTGGCGTCGGCGTCAGGCTGCCCAGCGCTGCGCTGCGGATGCCCAGCGGGTGGCCACGCGCTGTCTGGGTGGACAGCGCATGGCTGGCCTAGGGGCACCTAGCCGTTGCAGGCACCTGTGTTCAAAATTGGCCGAAGACCGTTGGGGGCCGCGCTGTCGGGGTGGACCGTATTGGTGCAGATTTCTGCGCTCGTGAGGACATGGTGCCACGAGTCGTCCAGGAGTGACGGCGCATGGTGGAGGAAGCACCGGAGGAAAGCGACGTCGTGCAAGTTGGGGTCGTGGGCGCCACCGCCACGCGGAACGCGAGACTTATGACAGGCCGCCCCAGGTTCACCACATATTTGCTGCATCCTCCTGACCGGGGCCACCAAGGCCCCGTCGAGCTGAGGAAGTCGATCAGGACGCATGTTGGGACATCCACACGTCGCGCCCGCCCCTTGTCCTGCTTCCTGCAGCCCGAGGTGAACGAATCCCATAGGGCGCTGGCGTTTGGCAGCGCGGCCCAAGAGCTCTTGGCGAGTAGGAGGAGCTCGCGCCGCGCACGCAGAGGCGTTCCCCCTCGCGGGCAGGCATTGGAGCAGCCCGCGGCGCCGGAACCGCCAGCGGCCGTCGTCGCGGGGAGGAGCGAGAAGCCTCAGGGGCGGGCATTGGGTTCACGCGGGGATGCTTGTCGGCGATGACCCAGTCGCCGGCTCATGCCACTGGGCCGGCGGCGGGCTGCCAGGACGGACGCCGCGCGCCGCCCCCGCTGGCGGGCGGGGGGCGGGCAGGGGCGCCGCGGCGGGCCAGGCGCGGGGAGGGGCGTCTGGGAAGGCGTCGGGGAGGGGGCCGCGAGAGGCGTCGTCGCGAGGGGCGTCGGTCGGGGCGCAGGGATGTGCGACGACAGTGGCGTCAGATGGGGCGTCGGGTCCAGGCGCGTTGGCGTCGGCGTCGCTGTCGTCGGAGTCCGTCTGGCCCCTCGCGGTTGGAGTGCCGGTGTTCTTCCGACTGCTCGCTGTCGCGCCGCTGGGGCCCAGCGCGCTGCGCCAGGTCGAGCTGTCGAGGCTCGTCGCGCCGTTCGCAGCGCTGCTGCTGCAGCACTTCCTGCTGCCCGCGGTCGTGCAACTGGAGCCCGTCATCCTGCTCCCGACGGCGCCGCCGGCGCGCTTCCTGCCTCTCGAGGCTCAGCGCCCGGGCTTTGCCTTCTGTCCGACGAAGGCATCTATACACCACCACCGTGCCAGGCCAGGGCCATCCTGGGCCGTAGGATGGTGTATAGACCCTCCTGGCTCGGCCAGGAGGGCGTATACACCATCCTTGGGCCCAGGATGGCCCTGGCCTGGCACGGTGGTGGTGTATAGATGCTTTCTGCGGATTCTGGCCGTGGCGGCGGGAGCTTTTCAGGGCGGGCAGCGGTCGACGGGCCCGCCCCTTCCCAGACGCCCCGAGAAGCCGGCCGCGGCGACGGGGGCCTGCAGGACGCACGGCGGTGCCGGGATCTCCCTTTCCTCCGCTGCCCCTCCTCCATCTCCCAGAGAGAGACGCCCCGTTGCCCCAGGCCCGCCCTGGCGCCCGCCGCCCTCCTCCCAGCGCGGACTAGGTGCGCCGCTGTGCTTGGCGTCGTCGTGTGCGATGGCTTCGCGGGTTCCTCGGGGACCTCGGCGCCCCCCAGACATGGGCCGCCGTGGTCCGGGACAACCGCGCAAGCCGGGCGGGGGGGGGGGGGCGCCGTCGTCGCCGCCGGGCGTGCAGATGGGAGCGAAGGGGCCCTGGCTGACCGGGCGACGGAGCGCTGCTGCGTCCGCCGCTCTGGCCATCTCCTCTCAGGGCGGCGGCGCTGCGCCGACCTGCGGGCCCAGGCCCCTGGCGTCTGGGCGCGACCGCAACCCGAGACCCTCCAGGTGGCGGCGGCCGCGCGAACCGTCGGGGCGCCTGCCAAGGGGGTCTTGGCAGGCGGCCGCATCGGGGAGGATTGCGTGGACCTGGCCGTCCGCGCCCAGCATGCGAGCATGCGATGCCAGGAGCCAGGGGGCGCGCCGTTGGCGACGTCTGCGGTCGAGCCGAGGGGATCGGTCGGTCCCGCGGCGCTGTCCCACTGCCGGTTGCCGCGCGCCGCTTGGGCATCTAGCTGGCGCTGCACGCTGCCATCATCTATGTGACTTTGGCCACCGGGGGGTAGACCCAACCCCGCGGGCGTTTCGCGCGCTGGCCGAGCCGCATAGCTCGCGCAAGACTCGTCCCTGGAGGCGCCGTTGCTCGCGGTGACTTCTGGTTCGGCGCCCCCGCTAGGTCCACTTCTGGGTGGGCCGGGCCCAGGCGAGGCGCCGCTGGGCCTCCCCCGCCCATCCAGCGGCGCCAGGTCTGGGCCCGAGGCGCGCTCCTTCGCGTGGGCCGGCCGTCGCGGTTTCATCCTGTCCGGCCTCGGGATGGCGCTCGCTGCCCCCCCGCCCCATCCACCCCTGGTCGCGCACCGATGAGGCGGGGCGCTCTCCGCGGCAGGAAATTGCGACACGACGCCGCGATCCCCATGCAGGTAGCAGCGAACCCGGGGCGGGAAACGCGGCGGCGCTGGGAGGGCCGACTTTAAGGGTAGCTCTTTGGGGGATGTTATATAGAATCGGGAGTATAGCTCGCGCGCCGTTGCCTTTGGCTCAAGGCACGCGCGCCCTATTTGCCCGGACACTGCTTGTGTTCGCTATGTGCTGGAAACATCATTACATCTATCTTATCCTATCTTATCCGTCGCCGGACGCTATTTGCCATCCGATCCCCATGGAATCGGATGCTATTTGATTTATCATAGTCACTTTCGACTTGGTAGCGGAGCTGGCCGCACTCTCGCGTGGTCAGCTCTTGCTCTTCTTGTCCTCGCGCTACACGGCGCGATCTTCGTGACCAATTACCACCTTGCGCCACCACTCCCAGTACATTTACGAAGATCAATTCAAGAGCAAGAAGCAACGCGAGAGGTACGACGTCTAGACAATAACATTGGTACCATATACGCTTCATCTTTGCGCTACTACCAACCGCTCGGCAACGAGCCAAAAGCGCAGCACTTGAAGCATGGGCGGAGAGATCCGCCAGATAGAGCGCCTCGAAGACTTGACAAGGCGCCACCCCAGCGCGGCAACGCGCCTAATAACCACCCCTATCTTCGCAGCCTTGGGCTGGTTATCTTCGCCATCATATGGTTCGCGCTGGGGGCGGCAATCGGACACATGCGTCGTGGAGACAACAGCACCGATGGGCAAACACATGGCCCATACTGGGACCCTCAAGACAACGTGCCTTTCCGCGAGCACGTTGATGAGGTCAACGCGCGGCTCAACGTCACAAGTGGACGTATGACGCCACAGGCCCAAGCGGCCGCCATACAACGCGGCCTGGGTGGCCTAGCGAGGACACTCGCCATGAGGGTACCACCTGACATTGTAAACTACGGCGCTGACATCGATGGGGTCCACGCCGACCCAGTGACCTACATCATGTTCCTCCTAAGCATGAAGTTCGAGCGCCTAGAAGATGAGCACCAGCTCACCTCCGGCACACATCTCATCGACTTTCATGTGCCTCACGGAGAACGAATCGACGTCACCCTTACCCGATTCGAAATGGCCCGACTTGAGGCACAGTCGGTGGGATTTGACCTCCCCAACTTCCAACTACTAACTGCGATCCTATTCCGCGCCTTAGGCGTCGGCAACCAGCGAGCCATGCAACTCTCGCAGCCACTCAATCACCAAATTCCCCGAACACAACAACAGTATGATGAGCTGCTGGAAAGGATGCGTTCGATAGGTCACTTATCAGAACGGTCTCCCGGCAATATATAGGATCAGTGTTTGGAAGGGGAAGGGTGTCTGGTAGTGGGAATTTCTACACTACCTCAACCGCTGAAGCCCAGCCTGGAAACGGGCCCTCAAGCATATGGGCCGACGATCCTGGAGAATCCATTGCTCTACTAGCAGGGGATCGATCACAACCAAGCTGGGCAACCAGCCCTCCTTCCAGAGAACCTCAACCACACCGTTCCCTATGGGGTGAATCAAACCCCCTAACCAGCGGTGTATC